AGCTCTCCTCGTTGATACAAGGCTCCATCTATGTCATACAGGGCTCCACTCGTTGATACAAGGCGCCACCTCTGTTATATAGAGCTCCACTCGTTGATACAAGGCTCGATCTATGTTATACAGAGATCCACTCGTTGATAGACGGCTCCATCTATGTTATATAGAGCTCCACTCGATGATACAAGGCTCGATCTATGTTAAACAGAGTTCCACTCGTTGATACAAGGCTATATCTATGTTTTATAGAGCTCCACTCGTTGATACAAGGCTCAATCTATGTTATATAGAGCTCCACTCGTTGATACAAGGCTCCATCTATGTTATATAGAGCTCCACTCGTTGATACAAGGCTCGATCTATGTTATACAGAGTTCCACTCGTTGATACAAGGCTACATCTATGTTTTATAGAGCTCCACTTGTTGATACAAGGCTCAATTTATGTTATATAGAGCTCCACTCGTTGATACAAGGCTCCATCTATGTTATGCAGAGCTCCACTCGTTGATACAAGGCTCCATCTATGTTATATAGAGCTCCACTCGTTGATAGACGGCTCCATCTATGTTATACAGAGCTACACTCGTTGATACAACAAGGCTCCATCTATGTTATATATAGCTCCCTCAGTTTCTACAAGTCTCCATGCTAAACACAGTGTGTCTTCGTCTTCCGTGTGTACTGACTGAAACTGTCACATGCTAAACACAGTGTGTCTTGGAGTTCCGTGTGTACTGACTGAAACTGTCACATGCTAAACACAGTGCGTCTTGGTGTTCCGTGTGTACTGACTGAAACTGTCACATGCTAAACACAGTGTGTCTTGGTCTTCCGTGTGTACTGACTGAAACTGTCACATGCTAAACACAGTGCGTCTTGGTCTTCCGTGTGTACTGACTGAAACTGTCACATGCTAAACACAGTGTGTCTTGGTGTTCCGTGTGTACTGACTGAAACTGTCACATGCTAAACACAGTGTGTCTTGGTCTTCCGTGTGTACTGACTAAAACTGTCACATGCTAAACACAGTGCGTCTTGGTGTTCCGTGTGTACTGAGTGAATCTGCCACATGCTAAACACAATGTGTCTTGGTATTCCGTGTGTACTGAATGAAACTGTCACATGCTAAACACAGTGTGTCTTGGTCTTCCGTGTGTACTGAATGAAACTGTCACATGCTAAACACTGTGTGTCTTGGTGTTCCGTGTGTACTGAATGAAACTGTCACATGCTAAACACTGTGTGTCTTGGTGTTCCGTGTGTACTGAGTGAAACTGTCACATGCTAAACACAGTGTGTCTTGGTGTTCCGTGTGTACTGAGTTAAACTGTCACATGCTAAACACAATGTGTCTTGGTGTTCCGTGTGTACTGAATGAAACTGTCACATGCTAAACACAGTGTGTCTTGGTGTTCCGTGTGTACTGAGTTAAACTGTCACATGCTAAACACAGTGTGTCTTGGTGTTCCGTGTGTACTGTGTGAAACTGTCACATGCTAAACACAGTGTGTCTTGGTGTTCCGTGTGTACTGAGTTAAACTGTCACATGCTAAACACAATGTGTCTTGGTGTTCCGTGTGTACTGAGTTAAACTGTCACATGCTAAACACAATGTGTCTTGGTCTTCCGTGTGTACTGAATGAGACTGTCACATGCTAAACACAGTGTTCTTGGTGTTCCGTGTGTACTGAATGAAACTGTCACATGCTAAACACTGTGTGTCTTGGTGTTCCGTGTGTACTGAATGAATCTGTCACATGCTAAACACAGTGTGTCTTGGTCTTCCGTGTGTACTGACTGAAACTGTCACATGCTAAACACAATGTGTCTTTGAGTTCCGTGTGTACTGACTGAAACTGTCACATGCTAAACACAGTGTGTCTTGGTGTTCCGTGTGTACTGAATGAAACTGTCACATGCTAAACACTGTGTGTCTTGGTGTTCCGTGTGTACTGAGTGAAACTGTCACATGCTAAACACAGTGTGTCTTGGTGTTCCGTGTGTACTGAGTTAAACTGTCACATGCTAAACACAATGTGTCTTGGTGTTCCGTGTGTACTGAGTGAATCTGTGAAATGCTAAACACAGTGTGTCTTGGTCTTCCGTGTGTACTGACTGAAACTGTCACATGCTAAACACAATGTGTCTTTGAGTTCCGTGTGTACTGACTGAAACTGTCACATGCTAAACACAGTGTGTCTTTGTGTTCCGTGTGTACTGAATGAAACTGTCACATGCTAAACACTGTGTGTCTTGGTGTTCCGTGTGTACTGAGTGAAACTGTCACATGCTAAACACAGTGTGTCTTGGTGTTCCGTGTGTACTGAGTTAAACTGTCACATGCTAAACACAATGTGTCTTGGTGTTCCGTGTGTACTGAGTGAATCTGTGAAATGCTAAACACAGTGTGTCTTGGTGTTCCGTGTGTACTGAATGAAACTGTCACATGCTAAACACAGTGAGTCTTGGTGTTCCGTGTGTACTGAGTGAATCTGTGAAATGCTAAACACAATGTGTCTTGGTCTTCCGTGTGTACTGAATGAAACTGTCACATGCTAAACGCAGTGTGTCTTGGTGTTCCGTGTGTACTGACTGAAAATGTCACATGCTAAACACAATGTGTCTTGGTGTTCCGTGTATACTGAGTGAAACTGTTACATGCTAAACACAATGTGTCTTGGTCTTCCGTGTATACTGAGTGAAACTGCCACACACTTCTTTCCCTTAACTATAATTGTTTGTTTTAATTTTGGCTAAACTTGATAATAATCACCAGCAGCTAAAGGGATGGTGTAAATCCTGCTAGGGAACCAAGCAGGTAGCAGAAGCGCCGTCAGTCTCCACGGTCCCTAGTATGGTTGCCTAACTTTGGTTGCTGGCGATCCTGTTTTTATACTCTGTTGTTATTTAACGTGATATCTTTTTATGGTTCCATTCTAGTTTTCAAATATAGATCAGTGACAATGTAGTTGCTTTACTGTCCTTCGTCGACAGATTCTATAATCAAACTGTATGTATTACTACTGTATAATTTGATTTAGTCACGATATGGCTGAAATATTGCCGATGTGACTATAAATATTCACTCTCACTCATTTGGCTTTACATTTGATGGATGTCTCTATAGGGCACTAATGACAACCAGACTGGTCACCAAGTCATCACAAGACCACATTCATTGCTAGGCAAATCATAATTTGAAACTTTGAATTTGTTTGAATTTTATATTCTGAAACAAAACTTTCTGAAAACCAATGGGTCTACCTTAAGTAAAGAGAACACCAATATACTCTAAAACTTCAAAGAGAGGATATTTAAGTTTTGACTTTCTAAATTATGATACATAAGAAGTACGATCAGATTATACACTTGTCTGTCAGTCTTATTTCTTAAGATTTCTTATTCTTCATACAATTCCAATAAACATGTCACTTGAGTTCTATTTGAGCAAATGTTTGATAAAACATTACCACATTTGACACATCTATTCACTATAATGATATAATGCTCCCAGTCACAGCAGCAGGTACGAATTTAATTTCTTGAGATAAAGAAATATGAAGTATTTATGAAACACAGCATGCAATTTTCATATCTGCAAAATTATGAATCAAATTATTAGTTACCATAAAGTTCTTTTACATGCGACCTGCCATAATTGTTTATGACACTTTGACCAAAAGTTAATACCTTCTCTCCTTACACTAGCTCTAATCTCCACAAGCAGGCCATTTGCCCACTGTGGGTGACGAACATGTTATTTACACGCTATTTACGTGCTAGTGATGTGCATGCAATACATCCATTGGATATCAGCTCAAACCATAAATAGCAGATAAAGTCAAAAATGTCTTTGTTAGGCTAGGAGAGACATGTTTTTCCCTTGTAATGGTTTGACTGAGTTGGAGCCAGATTCCAATAACAGTACATTTGCATTATGATGAGAACTCAAGCACCCTAGAATGGAGTGTGATTTAAATCAAGAAAATGTTAATTATTTAAGGTATAAACGTGGCCCAGATTGAGGATAGCTTATCTGGTAGTCTTTGATGTCTAAATGAGGCATAAATGTGTTTGGAAACAACATCGCAGAAAATATATGGGCATTTACAAATTGACCATTTTCTGTCCTAGGACATTTCTTGCAGACTGCATGGTTATAATGACTTGAAGAGGCTTCAAAGGGGCTTCTTACGGCCTTTTAATATGCATGCCATATTTAAACACTGATCATGCTGATAGTCGTAAAATGTGTTCAGATTTCGTTTGTCTTCTCATCATGTAATATTAATTAAATTAAATTAAAAATTATTTAGAGTTTGTGAAAAGTTGAGAACAGGTTTACTTCTAAGCCTCACCATCACTAACTTCATTCCTTTTTTTAATATTCCAGTTTTTTAATAGTTTTCTACAAGTATGTAACTTCAAATGTCTGAGCAATTTTTCCAACAAATCTTTATAGACATTTTCATGACAGGGTGTTATTTTCATGACAGTTTTGGGTGGAACAAAAAATTAATTACGATATATCACCGTCTATAGCACGACCGTTTATATATTGCGACCTCCCTGTAAAAACCTTCAAAATCGATGCTTATGAAAAATCTTTTGTCTTTCGATGTCTTTTCCATGATGCCTTGTCTTGTATAATGCCAGCACACTGTGTACTGACACGGTAAGACACCAAATTGGTGCCTGTAAAATAAAGTTCATTTCAGAATAATTAGGTAAGTTACAAGCCATTTATTCATGCATTTACACACTTATCAAATTAGGTTGATAAATATCACACAGCTTTACATATGTCAGACCCAAATGATATATCAGCCTCTATGAATCAATTAAACTCCAAGTTGGAGTCTTTGGCAAACAGGGGGCACGGGTGGCCCAGTCGTCTATTCGCTATGCAGAGTTGCGTCCCTTGGGCACGCCAGAAACCTATGATTGTGGGTTCGAATCCCGGTTCGCCCCGATTATGTTTCTAGGTTTGTCAGCACCAAACCCGTGCTCGTGGGTTTCACCGAAGTGGTAAACGTCTGAGACCTGCGTCACTTGGGGCTTTCCGCCGTGACATAACTGGAATAATGTTAAAAGCGGCGTTAAATCCAACTCACTCACTCACCAACTTTGGCAAACAGAATTCCCCATGCTGCCTAATCCGTGCTGTCATCAACATAGATGTTGAGTTCATCTTCGTAGCATCTGGAATGTCAGCGACAGCACATGCATCCTCGGAACCTTCACCTTGAGATGCAATGCCGCACTTCCAGCTACGCTGCACCACGTCCTCTAGCATGCCTTCCCATGCTGCCTTCACCCATCTGGCAACATACGGTAGGGAGACTTTCTTTGGTTTTTGTCTTTTGTGTATTGTTCCATTCACTCCGGTGGCCTTGAACGGTTCTTTTAGACAGACGTCTAATGGCTGCAGCAGGGATGTGCAGCCACCAGGATCACTGCCTGCTGTATTTTGCTGTCTGCCAACTTCTTTACAGCTTCGCACAAATGTGCCTGTAACATGTCAAACTCTAGCATGGACCTACAACCTCTTGCACCTCCAGGTCTCTTCATCCATCACATGGCAATCCACTTGTGCACAAGTGACTCATCCATCCATTCTTTCTTTACTTCACTGACGAACGTCTCCTGTCACATGGTCTTCCATTTGAAGATAATTATATAGGTGTCCGGCTAGTTCCATCTGCCATACATGTCAGCACTACAGTGAAATGTCGTTTCTCCACTCCACATGTGCCAACCCACGTTGTGGAAGTCCCCTTGGTGTCGACTGTCCTAGTCCCTGGTATGTGAAAAGTTGAGAGGGTTTCATGTTCCCAGTCTTGCTTCTTTCATTCAGGCAGCACAAACTGGTGAAATGAGCTGACCTTTGTTTCAACCTCTGCTGGAAGCTTATGCATGATGTGGGTCTTCTTCTTCAATACCGGGTTGTGTCTGATGTTTCAGGAAACGCAAACGCCCGTTTCCAGATGCTTTAATTGACGTCGGGTGTTTAGGTCCCTCTTCGTCCTGTGAATGTGGTCAAATCACCATAAGTGTGACGATGCTTGCACACTGTCGTAACTCACTAACGCACTGAAAAAATAAAATTTCTGGTAAAGACTACGAGACTTTGTTGACAAAATGGCTTGGAAAGAAGACTGTTTAGGAACACAAAGGACAAGTAATGATACCAGGGATTCATCTAGCATTGCAAACAATGTTCTCTTGGCAGGCCAATTTGGGAAAATGATTTTGTTCAAAATTTGGATTTAAAGTCTTAATTACCATGTAAAGGAGAGTAGAATGGGTATATATCACACACACACACACATATATATATATATATATATATATATATATATATATATATATATATGTGTGTGTGTGTGTGTGTGTGTGTGTGTGTGTGTGTGTGTGTGTGTGTGTGTGTGTTCAAGTTGTCATTGAACTCCACTCACTCACTCACTCACTCACTCACGTCTTCAGTAACCTATGCTTGCAGTGAAACGCGACAATTTGTGTGGATCGATGCTCATGATGTCAATAAGTGGATTGTCTGGTCCAGACTTGATTATTTACAGACCACCATCATATAGCATCACACTCACTCACTCACTCACTCGGGACCCAGGACACTATTTATAACACGAAAGTGATGCAATGGCAGACATTCCACCGGATAAAGGATAACTCATCATAAAGCTACTGGAATGCCTTCTGAAGCTTGTTTGTGTTAACGGATAACTGCTGAATCTCAATATCCCCCTGCCGGATATCCTCATGGTGTAAACAATCCTGGATCAGAGATATTGGCACACATGGACTGGAAGAGTGAAGTATGTTCAGCCATGTGTTGCATCATGGCCACAGACTCGGAGGAACAATACCAAGCTGCTTTGTTGCAAACATGTGGAACAATGTTTTTAAATCATCAGGAAGTATGACAGACTAATATGATGTGCACATTCCTGTTAAACTTGATCTCGCTTTTCAGAATTTTTGACGATTTTGAGGATATTTGGTTCCTTAAAAACATGCCTTACAGTTGCCGCTAGCAGCAAATATTCACAAACTATGTGCACAATGTTTTCAGTTCAGCAAGTTGATTATAGGATTATCATTGTTCAAAATAGATTTTCTTTTATTTCTTTGTTCATGCATTTCAGTGAGAAAACATTGATTGGCAGGTGTCATAGAAATAAATTTAAACAAATTATACGATATATTGCCATATGTGGAGTGTTGGTTGAATTATTGTAACCTACTTTTTTGCAGCTTTACATTTTCTACACATTCCTTTCCATGTACGTTGTAAGTTTGCATTTGGAGGAAGAAAATATTATGTCTTTATATTTCTTTTGATTCCAATATTCTCATATACTGATTGCTATGGTCATTTAGGTGGGTGAATCAGTTGGTGAGTTCGGTTTAACATGTTTCGGAAGAGTGTTTCAGATATAACGTGGCGTGACTGCCTAATGTGGGAGGACGACCTGAAGTAATGCACCTATGAGACGTATACCACTTTGGTGAAACTGAAAAGCACAGGTGTGGTTCCGACAAACCTAGAAACCCACGATCAATGGTTTCTGGCCGATTAAGGAATGCAACTCTGCACAGAGACTCGTAGAGGGCCATTTGTGCTTTCTGGCCAGTGAAGCAATATGGAAGCTCATTAGATAAGAATACATTGTTCATTATTTCACAAGGAGATGACATTCTTCATCATCAGAGCCTTGATCAACAAAGCTATCTCATAGGGCCTTGACGCAGGATGGCGACCTTTGTGCCTCCCGTGTGCCACCATAACATTTGCCAGGTCGTCGTTGGAGGCTGAAAGGAGGCAGAATGGTTGCCTAGGTCGTTCCAAGGTGGTACACAGAAGGGTCAGACATCGCCATGGACGCCATGATTGCCGTGAATTTTTTGAACATGTTCAAAACAGTCGCACAAAGGTCGTCGAGGAGGCTGGTTGCTCAAAGGTGGCCCAAAGGAGGCAAAAGGGAGGTACAAGCATTGCCGTTGTTGCAGAATGTTATATTTTCCCGTCAATCTCGGCGATGCTTCCACCTCCCTTGTGCATTGGACAATGACTGTGGCGACCGCAGCGCCTCCATTCGGCGACCACGGCAAGCCTTGAGACACCATGACAAAGCTTCTGCCTCCTTTGAGCTACCTGTAGTGCCTCCTCAGCCTGCCTATAAAAAGTGGGCATGTACCTTCAGTGTTTCATTGTGGTTGCAGACGCTGAACAACTGCTGGAGCAGTTACATAGAAACACGATTTTCTGTGTTTAGGCGACCATTGAGGGTCCTGGCCAGTTTGTGATCGCTCAAAGGTGGCACAAAGGTCGCACCCCTGTGTAAAGGGGCCTTTAGCACTAAGAAAACTGCAACTCTCACACTGCATCACAGGCTTATGGCATTCGCTAAGATGACATGATAGAATAGGACCTTTAATGATAAGTTGACTTGACTGAAGTTTCTTTGTAGGTATAATCAGTTAAAATATTAAAATATCTTGCAGACTGAACTACTAGACATTAAATTGTTTGATTCCTCACTTACTTGTCCTTAAACTGCAACACATCATTGTCAATATCTATGAATATACATGTGTGAGTGAAGATGTTTGTAGTAACCAGAGGCTGTGCCGTGGGTGTTGAAATACACACTTAACCTGACATTTCGTGATGGCGTATATAGCATGTAAATAACATGACATACACTTGTCTGTGTCTTGAAACAAGTTCCAGTCCTCTTGTACATGTGCATTTCATTTCGTAAGCCTACTCTCAGTGTTAGAACATGTGGCTCTGACCAACATAAATGTCAAATTTACTATCTGCCAAATGCCACCAGCCTCTGGCCATAAGTGTACTGCTCGGGGAAAATGACAAAAGTTATGGACCACAGTGAATATAAAATCGATTCAGATGAGAAGAAGTTGTTATGAAATGTATGGCCCTGTTGTGTGTGAATGCTACATAAGCTTATAATTTGACTGAAGTTTTTTGTCGCTTCAAGTATGACGACAAATTCAACCGTTCATGACAACTTAAATGCTTCAAACGTTTACATACATGACGATGTAGCTGTCAAGGTCAGTTTTATGTTTGAAGGGGATTTGTATGGAATGGAAGGTAATGCTTTCTAATGCAGACAAAAACAACTTGAAAAACACATGTCCCTGAAGTCAAAGTATTCGCATATAAATATTTTGCACCTTATTGGCTGTAGGGACTGGTCTTTTATTGGAGGTGGGGGATCTGGTTTGGGCGGGGGGAGGGGGGACAGAGGTTTTTGATGCACTAATGTACTGAAAATAATTACCCTCCCCTAATGCTTGTCATTTTTTTGGATGAGCCTCCTCATGGCTTGTACATTTTTTTCATGACCCTCCCTGTAAAGGCAAAATGCAAAAGCACTTTATATTTTATTATAATGTGTCCATTTATCTTCATGACCCTCCCCAAATATGTGTATTATTTTGTGACCTTCCCCAAGAGACTGTCAAAAGTTTTGGTTACCCTCCCCTTTAAAAAAAGACTGGTCCCTTAAATTTGCAGTTTACATTGCACCATTGTGGATATTGTATTGGGGCCAGATTAGAGCGCTTATACCCCATGCTTGTCACTGGAATCAGCACTGGTTTGCCTGGTTCAGACTTTGTTTCAGAACTACAAGAATCAGATAGGAAGGTCCGAATGATTTGCTCATTCTAACTGAGAATTTATGAGCCTTGACGATGATTGGTTGATTGGAAAGTTCATCTGACACAACCTTCTATGACCTTAGATCTTCATGTAGAGGTATCATTTCAGAGTAAAAGAGGTGAGGTGAAATGGGGTTTAACATCGCGTCCAAGATTATTGCACTTTATCTGCGTGCGTGTTTGTGTGTGTGTGGCTGCTTGTACTAGTCTGCCGATTTATAGTGCTAGCCCACTGAGGTACCCTGCCACAGTTTAACATGAATACCCCACTCAGACACAGTATGCTGACTCCGAGCTGACCAGTCCTTGTTTTACTCCCTTTATGCCGAGCACCAGACAGGGTAACAACAAGTACCACCTTTTTACGTCTTTTGGTATGACGCGGCCGGGGATCTAATCCCGGACTTTCCATACTCTGGGCAGACGCTCTACCATAAGACCACGGAGGCAGTGCCGAGTAAACGATCTGATTTGAATAACATAGGTCTACATGTACACAACGTACTTGATCACATCACTGTGTGACAACCCAGGCAGACAGATGGACACGTAAGGCCAAACTTTCCTTCACCTTGGTTCTGAAACTGCTTATCCTAGATAAATGAATAATTGGAAAAGCACTGCGGTTTCAATACAGCTGATTGTGAAGTCTTACGTATTGACCCTCTCCCAAAATTGAAAAACAATATGAAATACAAATATACTGTGTCAACGACCCAACAAAACACCTTTTTCCACAATGACCAATGCAAGGCATGAAACGGAGGGGACTCTGAGCTCAGCTTATAAAAATGTTTATTAATACACAAAGTATGCTTGTATGATTGATAAGGGTGCACTTTTGATGACAATATTTTTATTCATATTTGTCACAACCTACTGATAACAGAAGAACACCCTGAAACTTCTCCTCATTTTCTCAATCCTAATGACCAGACTTTTTCCAAACCAATAAGGTAAACCAAACCAAAAATAATTATCACACTAGCTGAAACAACTGAAAATATGAATTTTATTTTGCAGCAACTCCTTATAAACATGTGCACCAACCACAGAAACATGTGCACCAAATTAAATAACAAATGAATAACCTATGAACCATGTGTGTTTTTCTGTCTTGGTTACAGTATACGATTATTATTTTTTTATAAATTAGGATTTTTCACCCAAAAAAATGTAAACCTTATCGCATGGTTAAGTACTCATGAAGTATTTATACCAAAAAAGTAGTTGATAGATAATACTATCTGGGTTTTTTTTACCAGCAATGTGTGCATCTGTGGCACACAGTCGATGCATGCAGAGTTCACAGCTGATGTGTACAGTGCCAACCAGGTGACAATGATGGAAAATTTAAGTCATTGAGCTGTTTCAGGAAG